TCCAATGTCTCTCCTACTCCCATCTTAAACATATGAACTAAGAATCCTAAGGGATCATGTGAGGAAGCACAAGTAAACACCAATCACTCCAGCCACAAATGAAAATAAGAATGAAACTTAAACAAATTCCAAAAAGAAAAGAAAGATGAAGAGAGAAGAAGAATGAAGAATGGACAAACAAGATGTCATTATCAAACCAAGATGAAGATAAAAAGAACATTCATTTCAATCTCAAGCAAAGCAAGCATCACCATCAAGTCAAAATCGAACAAACATTCACCATCACAAAGTAAGATGAGATGAAGTCAAATGGCACAAGAAACATGGTAGGGTAGCTAGCACAACATATCATACTCAAATCATAGCAATGATCAAAGAGAGGGCACAAAACAACAAGTCATGCACACCATCCATACACAAATCAATACCATATCAAACAAACATGCATACAAAAAATCCCCAAAGGGAAAAGCATATGAACAAGACATGAGCATAAAAACAGATCACAACATCAACATGATCAACAAGTTGACAATCAATCATGAGCACGCAAGAGATCATACAAGTTAAAACCAAACATGCCTCAAGAAGAATCAAACATCAAAACCATCACAAAAGAGGAACAACCATCAAACAAACACCAAAGTCTAAAATGACTTGAGAAAAAATAGAAAAACACTCAATCATGGATAAAAAACAATATCACATCATTTTGCAATTTTAGAATCAATTAAAAAACAAATAAAAAAGCAAATAAAACTTAAAAAAAAAAAAAGATGAAAAACATTTAGACTACAAACAAAAGTCCAAAAAAAATCACCATAAAAGAAATCATCATAGGATCATATGCTAATTTTCTTATACTTTTAAATGATTCAAAAATAATTTAAACCAATTAAAATTATCAAATAAATCAAAAATACAGTACGGCAGAAAACAATACTTGCCTCGTCACTAATATCTTTCCTTGTGATGGGACCACACAAAAAATAAAAAATAAAGAATGTGAATTATGGGGACTAATAAACTGGTTTTTTTTTTATTAAATGTAAAAATATAGAATATTAAAATAGAATGCCTAAAAATGTATTTAAATCTAAATTAAAATAACTCAAATTCTTATTATCTCACCACACCCCCATATTTTACTAATTTCACCATTTTACTCTTTTATTTTAAATAAAATCTATATTTCTTCCGAAACTAATAATTTTCATTATTTTTTAATTAACTTAAATATTAATTAATTCTCAATAAAAAAACTTCACCATCAAATACTTAAATAACTCAATTATAATATTTATTTAATTGAATAAAAACATATCAATACTCAAAAAAATTATATTAAATTAATATTAAATATACTAATAATATTAAAATTAAAATTAAGATGTTACACTGAAAGTGTTTCATATCTTTTTGTTTCAGATTTCCCGAGTTGTCGTCCTACTGGTTTGTTACCGATAAGGAAATAGGTTTTGTTTGATATAGAATTTCAGTTGGTTGGAAAGGTCTGTTGGAGTTAGTTTTCTTTTCTATTGCCTAGTTATTTTGGCACTTCTTGTATTGTTTCTTTGGTGTTGTGTTATACTTTTAGGTCTTTCGTTCCTTATTATTTATATATAGTTTAGGACAAATATTTTGATATGAAAAAAGTGTAAATAAGAAAATAAAAATTCTAAAATTAAGTAGAATTAACTGCCAATTTAAATGAAGATCTAGCGGCAGATCGAGATGGGAGATGAACATGGACGCAATAATTGACAAATAAGTGCCGAAGTTGTGTTCTAGTAAAAACAACAAAAACGTGGGTGACGTGTTCGTAAATTATTCCATATATAAATACATAAACAATTCACTTAACATTCTCATTATAATCCTGACTAAGAAAAATTCAGCTCGTTTAACAATGGATCGCTATCAACATGGACTTCAACCTTGTTCTTCAACCAAAGTCGAAAGAAAGGTTGTTAAGTATAAACTGTGCATAAAACAATCTGGATAGATTCACACATCATAGACTATACGGGTAAAATTAGGAAAAAGTTGTCTGAGTGTTTCCCACAAATATTAGGTATCATGATTCTGCATCTGAGACAATAACAAACACCATATTGTTAGGTATAAAACAAATAAGAAATAAATTGATAAACTTACATGAACCTTTTTTCTGATGGATATGCATCGTCGGCACCCACCTTGCCACAATAAGCACTTAAGGGAGATCTCGTACCCAATCCCTAGCTTAGATATTCATAAGAAAAGAAGACAACAAAGGACATCTTAAGTTTACCGGTTGGGTTTACCGGGTGACATTCACAAATACAAAACAGAAAAAGTTTAATCTCAAAAGAAAGATGAAATCGTCATGGATGAACCTAAATCTAAACAAATCTAAACAAAATCAATTCAGATATTATCTAAAACAAACAACACAAAAACTATCATTTTGAACCTTTGATTAAACATATCATATGTGCTTTGTTGAATATAGATCTAGAATCTGAGTAAAAAATAATTAAAATGGTTCTTCTTTGTTGGTAACATATCTTTCATAAATAAATATGGAGAATAGGTATCATAATTTATAAGAAAATAAAAACACATTAGACGACAGTGGTGTGGAAGATCTATGATAGAGAAACAAGAGAGATGAAGGAGGAAAATGGTAATAAGAGAAATGAAGGATGAAGAGAGATGAAGGAGGAAAATGGCAATAAGAGAAATGAAGGACGAAGAGAGTTGGTGTGTAAATGAAAGATGAGACTTGACAAGTAGTGTTAAAAAATTTTTGCAATGAACAATCTATAAAGTAGTCTATTATGAATTGCTGTGTGTACTTGATTATGAGTATTACAAAACCTTTATTATTTTTCGGTCGGTTTTAGTTGGATCATAGATTTTAATATGATTTCGTCCACCCACTGATAACTGAAAATTGTGATTTGTGGACCCGTAAATGTTGTTAGAATCGAGATCTTACATAAAATCGAGAGGAGATATTAAAATCGTAAAATATAAAATCGTAATTAAGATCAGAAGATCTTACGCAATTAATTTTATAATATCGATATGTGTTTGTAATATAATTTAACAAATAAAATATTAATGTATACGTTAATTAATGTCACTAACTAACTATTTCTTGTTGCATATTCTTTTAATTATATGATTATATTATATATATGAAATGTAATTATTGTCAGTAATAAAACAAAATACTGAATATATTATATTATAATTATATTTTCGTAAAAAGTGTAATTTTATATTGTATGAAGTACACAACTTGTAGCATCTTATATTATACAAATAAAACCAATTAAAAATAATATAAATTCTATTTGTCTTGTTAGCATAAGTTATGGAAAGATAACAGTAGCATTGTTTTCATAAAATTTTATGAAGTAAAGCTACTTTTGTGTAATATGAGATAAGTATAATATTATACTATTATTAAAATTTAAGAGTACAAAGATGATAAACATTACTCTCAATGTGTACAGTACAACTACTGTGTATAACTTAGTCACGTGAACTTACAATTTGTTAAACCAATTAATAAACAATATTAAAATTAAAATAAAGTGAAGATGAAAGCTTAGAGAAAATGAAAAGAGAGCAAGAAAAAAACAGAGCATCTTCTTCTCCTTTTCCGGTTGCGAAATTTGAGAAGCGCCGCCGCATGAAAACGATCTTGCTTGCGATCCAGATCGGTGGAGGTGATTGATATCGCAATATCGTGCGATTTCACGATCTGGATCGCAATCTTGACAACAGAGCATTTCGAACCGAACCGCTCTCACATTTTTTACCGGTTAAGACGGATTTCGGTCGGTTAGGGATTTACTGTCCACCCCTAGAATGACATATCTCGCAGAGGAAGGTCAGTTGGAGGACCTTAGGATGACATCTTTCTGATGGAAAAGGATCTCTCTTCTTGGGTCTGGTGTAGGCTTTTCATGAAGTTGGTTTGAGTCGTCTTACTCTAAGGTGGTTGGCGATGGGCTTTGGACTAGGTTATGTCATGATGTTTAGGTGGGGACCTCCCTGTTGGTGTTTTTAGAGGTTGTTTCTTATATCTAAGCAAAATGTTTTTTGTTGGATCAATGGAGAAGTGGGAAAGGATACATGGAGGTGTTGCTTTCTAGTTTAGAAAGAAGACTTATTAGCGTAGCTTTTTTTGTCTCATTACTCGAGAGGTTTAGTGGAGGCAAGAGGATTCTTAGGTTTGGATTCCGATTTTTTTATTTTCTTGTGAAATTTCTGTTATGGTGGTGAGATGGATAGTCGATATGAAGGAAAATCACAATATAAAACACTATATTAAAATAAAGTTGAAGATAAAATTAAAAATAGACAACGAAAAAAAATTGAGACAAGATAAAACAAATATACGGTTAGTAAGATGGAAAACAGAAATATACTAAGAAAAAATGTCTTGGAACTTTTTTAGCATGCATTTGTAAGACTAGAAGTGGATATTGGTGGGAATGGGTATAAAGTGCATGGATAAAAATCTAGTATGTACCTTAGTAGTTAAAGAATAAAATAATTACTTTGAGAAAAATAAATGTAAATAAGAAAATAGAAATATTCTAAAAATAAACACTCTGGTATCTTTGTTCAATAAAAGAATAACATTCAATATCATATTATTGTTTGTATATTTTTTATTTAAAAATAAATTAACTATTTTTAGTACAACTACTTATCGTTCATACTAAGAATTTGCTTATTCTAGCACAACGAACAATCTAATTGGATATCTAGCGGCAGATCCAGATGAACGTGGACGCAATAGTTGACAAACTAGGTGCCGAAATTTAATATCAGAAACAACAAAAGAGGGAAGACGCGTGGGTGACGTGTATTTCTTGCCTTGTTTCTGGAAATTGTTGTATAAATCATATCATGATTATTAACTAAATATATACATACACACTTACTTCACTTTCTCATCACTATCCTAATTAAGAAAAATTCAGAGTTGTTTTTCAATGGATCGCTACCAACAAATAGGTCAACCTTGTTCTTTACCAAAAGTAGAAAGAAAAGTTGTTGAGAAAAATAGAAGAAATAAGATGAAGAGCCTCTTTTCCAGCCTCAACTCTCTTTGCCCTAACTATAATCCTAAGGTGCATCCATCGTCTCTTGTAATAATTCATAATGTATTTATTATACTATATAATTTGGTGTTATTTTTCATTTCATGCAGGAGACTTTACCATTACCTGATCAAGTAGACAAAGCTATAAACTACATTAAAAGCTTAGAGACAAATTTGAAATCGGCGAAGGAGAAGAAAGAAAGTTTAATGAGAAACAAGAGATCGCGTAGTGGCTGCTTGAATTCTTCTGATGCAAAAATAGAGATTCATGAAAATGGTTCTTCTCTACAAGTTATTGTAACATGTGGGGTTGATGAACAGTTTATTTTCTGTGAAATTATGAGAATATTGCATGAAGATCACGTGGAGGTCATCTCTGCAAATTCTTCACTGGCTGGAGATTCAGTTATTCATGTTGTGCATGCAGAGGTATATATATACATGGATCTATTCTTTAATGTTAATAATGTTTAGCAAAGGAAATTAACATTAAGAAACTTATGATTAATTTGTTTTGTTTGATAAATACTTTTTGTGTAGAATCCGCAATCATTGTTTCAATTTGGAGCGACCAAAGTAGGCGAGAGACTGAAAAGGTTTGTGAATGGATCTGAGGGAGAAGTGCAAATAGAGCCTCAATTATGGGATTTTGAAGTTGGAACAGAGACTTGGGATCTAAATTCTATAGTAAACAAGTTTTTACCAAAATCTTAATGAAGAAGAAGAAGAGATACAACAAACAAATGCAGTGCAGATTGTAACTTATTAGGTGTTATTTAATATAAGTGTCTTCATGTATATGTTGTAAAAATGCATTGATTTAGTACTTCATAATATCAGTTATATTTTTTGTTTTTTTGGATTTTTAAATTAAATTAATACTAATTCTGAAATGTAGAAAGACCATTTGAAAATAAAATTAGTCTCAGCCAATATATCAATGGCTCTCAGTTTGGATTGATTAATATAAATCTTACTTGTACAAAAATGTATGAGATTATTTAGGAGGATTTATGAAAATGATTTATAAAACTCGTGTTATTTTTATAAAAATAATTTATAATTATTTAAAAAGTTATTTTATTTTGTTTTATTTTTTATTATTAAAATAAATTATACAGAAGTTTTTATCATGATAAATACTTATGATCTAAGTTACAAATTAAAATGTGTATCCACGTAAGACTAAAGCGTGAAATACCATTTTTGATGATTGGAAATTGAAGTCTATAGTTGGATAATGACAACTCCATTCTTAAAATTGAAAAAAAAAAAAAAGACCATTTAATCTCTTGAACTAAAGATTGATATTCAATAATTTAATTAATCATTTTTCAATTTTTAACAATAGTTGTAAAGATAATATGTTTAAAAAGAATTTGTGATCAAAAGCACGACCCCATAGTGCCTGGCATTGTGCCAGAAATTTAGAGTGGTCCCTTACAATCAAAAGAAAAATGCAAGAGCTTGCTTGCTAGGATCTTTAAACAATTAAACTTGTCTGACTGTAATTTCAACATCATTGTTCAAATTGTTGGCCCTACGCTTCTTCTCTCATGAAGTGAACTGTAGCTATTCAATAATTTGTTTTGTTTCTTTTGGACTTGTTTATACTGGAAGCACTCAAACTTCTATTCATCTCTTGATTGATACAAAAACTTGAGTATTATTCTTCTGCTATGTTTCATACTACGGTCAGCTTTGTAGTTTCTTCTACTTATGGTGTGCAGAAATTAGTGCACAAGGGTAAGAGGTTTGCAGGCGGTAATCTCAGTTGGGATTCCTTCTCAGTTAAAAGCTTTCGTCATGGGGGTAACGATTCTTCTACTGTGTCTTTCTATGTCTCAGAGTTTCCAGAAGCATGCAGTGCTAAGGAGTTGTTCGGATTGTTCATGCGAATCTCCCTAAGCTCCACAGGAGAAGTCGTGATTCTGGAAGCAGCCCTAGGAAGGATCTGAATGGTGCTTCTGGATTGAGCGAGCCCAAGTGCGGTGTTCCCAAACCAATCAACTTGAATAGGAGTAGGGCGGGAGTTAGATTGTTCGCTGAGATATTGGGGAATCACAAGGGAGTTTCTCCATCTAAGCCTTGTTTGTCTTTTGTCCCTAAGGCCGTGGTGATTAAGCAGTTGAGGAAGGCATACGTGGGTATCGTTGTCAATCCGGGTACTTCTTACAATATTCAAGTGTGATTTAAGGTTGACGGTTACTTTGCCATCAAAATTACTCTCTTGGGAGCTAATCTGTGTTTGCTAGAAGAATTAGAAGAAGGTGAAATTAGTGTCTTGATCAGAGAGGCAAAATCTTGGTGGAGTCAATGGTTAACTGAGATTAGAGAATGGCATGAGGCAGGCATAGAAAATGAGAGACTTCTCTGGGTGAGGGCGTTTGGGGTATCTTGTCATGCTTGGAATACTCCCTTCTTCAAATTACTGGCTGGTACTATTGTTTTTTTTTTTTTTTTTAATGATAAGAAGACTTTTAAAAAGATAATCACAATATTAATCATAATTTTTTATCATGTTTTCATTCTTAATTTTGTATTTATCCTATGTTTTGATTCGTCTGCATTTAACTTTTTAAAATCATTTGAGTCATCTACGGACAAATAATTTCAGACAAAAGTTAAGCAAATTTGTAAAATATCCGGAAAAAAAAATACTTAATCAAATCATTCAAAGGAGTTAAAATATCACAGGTGTTTTATCATGAAGGCTCAATTTTGATCTCCTTTGCATTCAACCCTCTTTAGAAAAGCTTAGCCTAGCCTCAGGCCATCACATACAAGGTTAGTTTTGCGGCGGAGCTTGCTAAGCCGAGAATATCTCACTAAGAAAGTTTATAATTGCAAAACTTGCTTAGCTCATCATACAACTCGACTAGAAAATTTCCTACAACTTTTACATTCATTTTTTGTACTTGCTCATATTCAATATACATTCATAAATAACACACACATTCAATAGAAATGATGTCCCGAAAGATATTAAGATGTTTTGGGAACTTGGACATGCTCACGTACTTATTACAAAATGACCAAAATACCCAAGATTCTTTATGGGCAGCAAGGATCCCACTTAAGGATCCAATTCTTGGATCGCCTCTATGGGTGGAAAGGATCCCACTTAAGGATCCAACGGTTTTTATCGCCTCTATGGGCGACAAGGATCCCACTTGAGGATACAACTATTTGATTTTCTTTATTGGTGACAAGGATCTCACTTAAGGATCCAGTAGAATGGTCTCTCTATGGGCAGCAAGGATCTCACTTAAGGATTTAGCATAATGATCGCTCTATGGGCGGAACGGATCCAACTTAAGGATCTAGTTGAATGATTTCCTCTATGCGCGACAAGGATCCCACTTAAGGATCCATCAGAATTATCACCTCTATGGGCGATGAGGATCCCATTTAATTATCCATCAGAATGATCGCCCTCTTGGTGACAAGGATCCCACTTAAAGATCAAATAGAATCGATCCCCTTTGTGAGCGATCTTCTCTTGAGCTTCTAGATTTCCTATAAAGAAAGGAATAACCAAACATACAGATTCTCTAAAATAATAAAAGCTAGATGTCTCATTAAAATCCCTTGCTATATGCAACAAAGCAGAGGGAAAATAGTGCACCCAAAAAAATAACTTGTCTTTACAATCGGCAGAGATGCAATACTTACCGATAAGAAAATGTCAATAAAGTAATCAAACATTAATAAAGAAAAATAAACGACAACTATGTCAATGTCTCCTGAGGTCATCACTTTTAGACTTTCAACCTTCAATCTCCTTAGAGGTTGGAGAGGAAACCTTCTCGCATTGCAGACTTCTCTTGGCGCTATTATTCCTGAGCCCATACTCTTAGCCTTCTTGCCCAGAGTATGGATCTTGTTCAGCTTAAGGCTTTCTGTGTAACACTTCCTGGCAATCTCCTTGTATTACTCCGACTCGCCCATTGAGGAGCTAGTACTTCATGCGTAAATACATATTTGACAAATACCCAACCGGTTAATAGTTGGTCTCCCTATAATCATATTGTACGAAGAGGGTATATCAATAACCGAATTCCTAACATTTATCTATTTAGTCTGATCCTGCTCTCAAAAAGTGATCCTGAAGGTGATATATCCTTTTACTTGTACTTGTTCTTTAGAGAATCCAACCAACAAACCTCTGAAAGGCTTCAAATTTTATGGTATGAGACAAATTCTTCAAACGCCTCATAGTATAGTACTTCTGCGAGAACTCCCTTGGTCAACGAGAACTTTTTTAATTTGTAGTCTTCGCACTTGACGATAATTACTATGGGGTCATCATTACGAGGTTGGAAGCTAGGTGCATCTTTCTATGAGAAGTAGATCATGGTTTTAGGCGTTTGGCGTTTTTCTTTGGTCTTAACTTCAAGGAGGTCTTCTACACTCAGGATCAAGATAGTGTACCTTCTTCGGGCGAGCTGGTTTCCCTGCCCCCGGTGAATCCTCCTATTATGATGTTGAGTATGTGGTGTTCAACTTTACTACCTTCTCCCTAAGACGCTTCTTTAGATTTGTTAGGTCTGAGGCTTCCAGCTTTATCTCACTCTCGCAAGTTAGACTTGTCTTTCAAATGGGAGGATTCGCCCTTTACATATTTCTTAAGGTGTCCCTCCTCTATTATTCTCTCGATTTCCTTTTTGAGATGGTAGTAATCTTTAGTAGGGATGTTGTGCAAGTGGATAATGTCGGGCCAGATCTGCTTGCGGCAAGTATTTAGGGGTGTGAAGTTCTCTATCACCTTACCAACTCTTTTGAACATAATTTTGTCGTTTATGGGTGAAGTGTAATTTCTCTTCCTTTGTTGATTTTAGCATTTGGCCTTGGAAACATGCTCCTTGACATTGTGCACCTTCTTTTCAATGTTTCCTGTCTCGCCCTTTATGTAGCACTCTACTATACCAAACCATTTATACCGATGAAAGCGTTGACTTATAGACGAGGGAGTAGTTAAAGTGTACTACTTCCTTGAATCCATTTTGGAACACTCCTATAAAAATTTCTTGGTTTATTGGGATGACCCTGATGGTGGCATCATTAAAGTGGGCGAGGTAGTCCTACGACGAATCTAATGGACCTTGGCATATGTTAAATAGGCTTGTGGTGGACATTTTCCTGTGGCGGCTGACGATGAACTTGTGTACTAGCTTCTTTACCATTTCATGATAGTTGTTAATGGAGGCACAGGGTAAACCTATATACCATCAAAGTGTGTTGTCCCTGAAAGTTCCAGATAACATCTTGTATGCAGTGAGTCATGTGCTCCTATGAGGGTCATTTATGTATTGATGTAGTCGACGTGGTCGTATGGATCGTTGCACCCATCAAACTTGTCCAAAGAGTGGGGTTTAAAACCCTTGGGGACAAGCACCCCTCATATCTTGTCTGAGAGTTTCTAAGAGTCCAACAGTTCCATCTTCTCTAGGGGATTGGACTCCTGTTGATGATGTTTGATGTTGTGGACATCAACGTGGTCGTATTTGTTAGAACACAGATTGGTTCTTAATAATATCTCTATGTTTTGATGATAAATATTATGAAATTTTGTATTTAAGAATTATATACTCTAAAATTTGCTTGAGAGTTTTTACTGCAGATAGTAAAGAAATTAACACTCCAGAAGCAAATCAGAATTGAACTCAAGAAATTAACTAGACTCTGTAGCACCAGATGCATACATTAGAAGA